GAATGAGGATTTATCTAAGCAAAAGGATTGGATAACTGAGAGCATCATTTGCAATAAAAGAGGCACTAAGGGCATTTACAGAATCTGCACTCTGGGATTCTCACACTGATGTCAACTCACAGATCCTACACTACAAACTGCCCTCAATAAGTTTGCACATACAAAAATTTCAGCTTTAAAACCCTTGGCGACATAGTTTCAGGCTCCACTTTACTATCAGATGTACTCGTGACTTTATCGGTGTAAGGATTCTGGCAGAAGATGACAAAGCATTCCTCTAGCAAGTTGGAGCCTTCGCAGCATAGTGGAAAATATCATGGCAGTAATCCAAAGCTGGTACTAACATTTCACCCTTCCCACACTGGCATTTTATTCATCTGAGAGCTAGCCAAGCTGTAATTGCTGGAGCTTTCAGCAGTCGTGTCATCTAGCCACACTCACACAACACTGGGCAGTTCTTGTTACACAAGGCTGGGATTTCAGTTGTACAGTCAGGATCTCAAGTTTGTAGTCTTCCAGTAATGTTAGGAATAAATTACAAAGTTTGTCCTTCTCCTATGGAGCTGATGATTTATTGCCCAATTTACCCTATTGGTCTGACATGGAAGATAAGTTTATGTGACATCAGCCCATTTCTGACATATTTAGGACACCACTATTTCTTGGAAAACCACACTTAAACCAGTGTATTTTGTATGTTCATGTCAGTTCTGGCTACCCAAATCAACATTTCTACTGGCTTTTTTCATTTTTTCCCCCTTTGGTGTGTCTAAGCCTTCAACCCCATCTCTCAACCCCTTCCCCCAAACAAACCAACCATCTCCCCCATCTCCACAAACCCACACACACTCTGGTCTCCTCACACAGCACATGAAAATCCCATCCTTACTCTAATAATCACTGTTGTTTCACTGAGTGCCTCCGATTGTACTGTCAGTTGTACCTCTGGCTTGGGAAGAACACATGTGGTTTGGGATTCGAGGCCTTAGTTGGCCCAGTGGTTCCTAAGCTGTGGGGCAGCTCCTCCCCTGTAAGGTGGGGCAGCATACAAACCTGCTGCAAATTATTTCCTGGAGCTGGAAACTGTAATACCAGATGAATGTGCCTAATTTGTCTGGGTACTGTACTAATAATGGAATTTACCTGGGGGGAAAGACTAGGCAAAGCCATTCAAGGAATTACAGTCTATCCCTTTTTTTTGTACTATCATCCCATTCCCCTACATATTTTGTTCTCTTCCTCCTCCAAAACAATCAAATATTTGGCCAAAATCTGGAACTAAGAGGATGAGGAAAGGTGATGCTACATTCATTATTGTTAAAATTCAAAAGCTGCAGTTTCAAGACTCATTTTTTGTGCAAAATTTGGATGTCACAAACAAGAGGCAGCTAGAATTCACCCAGCTTGATAAATATCAGAAAGAGCATTTAATAAATTAAGCTCTAATCTAAACACAAGGCCCAGATCCTGTTCCTGTAAGGAAAACTGACAACTCTCTCAATGAGGCAAAAAGAAAGGAAACAAGACAGCAGTGTTAGCTGCCAACGTAGTGCAAGCAAAGACAGCACTGCAGGAGAGAGCAAATAAAGCTGACTGCTAACATGTCAGTACCCAAACATCTCTACTAGAGAATGGCAGCACTTGGGAGCTAAACACCTTTATGAAACAAATAAAGGACCAGTTAGAAATGCATGGGGGAGGGGAAGAAATTACGAAACCAAACCATGGATTAAGAAGCATATGAGTTTATGTAGAGTCCTGCCACACAACACTTTGACAGCAATTCAGAGTGACTGCATGATGAAAATGGAATTGATACAATTATTTTTTTCTTAAAGTAATGCATGTCAGTTGAAGCACAGAATCTGAACAGTTTTATTGTAGGAACACTCACTGTGCACACTCAAAAATGAACAGAAACATGGAAGGTGGAAGTGTACCATCAGAACCTGCAAGGACTAGTAATATATCCTTTGTCAAAATGGCATATCCTGTCTAGCCAGGACACTAACAGGAGTTAAATATTTTCAAAAACCCACCAACATGGGAAACTAAGAGGTAGAGGTTTAGGGAAAAACTCTTAAGTGATCTAGGGGAGAAAAAAGAAAAAGCAGAGCAACATATTATTACAAAAAGCTCCAAAACCAGGGGAAAACAGTAACACTAAAAGCAGTCTAAGACAACAGAACGCAGATTATGATGTGTCAGCACACAAACTAATCTTCTAGAGCAGTACAAATTCCTCTGCATTACTAATAGTGTAGCTGGAACACTGTAATGATGACCATCAGTGAACAAACACAACAGGAGAACAGAGCAGAGAATTTCAATAGATTACAAAAAAATGCATTATTTAGATGAAAAGATTTGCAAGCCATGAGAGAATATGAAGAAATTGGCTATATTTTCTTAGGTCATTATTAAGGTGAAGCCATTGCCTCTAGCAGATTTAGTTATTAAGAAGTCCACATGTCAGGTTAACTATGAAAAGTTATCCAGGATACTTTCATAAAACGAGTTAAGAGCAGACTTTTTAGAAGTATGCAATAAATTTGAGAAAAGTATCATGTTCTGGAAATGTCTAAGTTTAGCCCTTAAGTTATTACATGGAATTGTTACAAGTCAACAGTAGGTGGTTTATAAAATGTAATTTTATTTAATGTTACTTTGCTGTTACAGAGGGCATAACATTTTCACAAGGCTTTTTTGGGACTACAATCAATGATTAGCAACACACAATAGTAGTCCAAACTCTCTAACAATCACTGGACAAACTTGACACCTTCTCACATGTGCACAAACCTGCATGGAAAAGTACTAAATTTTATACTTGGACATGTGAACTTCAATTGGTTTTCCCATTCCAGTGTATTAAGAAATGACATGCACTTTTAGTCTGCCAAAAAGCACTGCCTGTACTCCAGCAGTAACATGCTGCTTCTAATACATAGTAAAGTGAATACCAGAACTACGTACGCAGGAGTGTAAGTGAATTTTTATTGGGAAGGGATATCAACTTAAACAACAGCAACTGAAGATTAGGAGAAGCCCCTGTTTTCCAACACACAAACCTCTTACATAATGCGGGAAGGAACTCAATTTGTCATTTTCCAGACTGGAAATGCTCAACTTGATCTGGCCCAATACTTCCATATTCCTACTGAAACGAATACACAGTAGCATGTGAAAGTCAATTATGGAAAGGAAACCCTGCAGAATAAGAAGGGAATGTGGAGAATTAAATGCTATGTGGAACACTCTTTAGTTGCAATTAACTACATTTTCATATCTTACTGTAATACAAAACACAGTCAACTGGCAGGAACTGGTTCAGATTTGTTTTTAAATACCAGGTACACTTTAGTCCGCTACATAAGTGTTTGCAAGTTACTTATGTTTATATGAAGTGAAGCTATTAATACTTTTCTACAGCAGTAACCGCACACCAGGAAGGCCAGGACAAACACAAATCAAGGAATGGAGTTTTCCCAAAGCTGCAGTGTGAAAAGACTATAAATTGATTTCCATACACATGGATGGGTTTTCTTTGCTATAGGAAATCCAAGTGGAGCTATAAGGAATGGAGACGTGTAAAAAGGTTTCTTGAGAAGGGAAGGGAGAATGACGCCCCACGTGCAGTTTAGTTTTCTGCACCTTCTGCAGCATCACATTCTTCTCCTGCACTGTCTGATGTCCATAACTAGGAAGAGAAGAAAAACAGTGTCAGCTTTCAGAACCACAGCTTGAATGCCAAAAATGGACAACTATTGACTGTATGGAAGAAGTGGTCATGACTTAGACTTGATGTCTACAAAGTACCAGTGCACTGGCACTGCACAACCCTGGCTTGCAGTACCTGCCGGGAGAGAGGTCGTTGGAAAGAGCTGCTCGTGCACAGGGCACAACTAGCTGTGCTCCTCAGGGAGTGGAGGCAGACAGTGTTCTAAACGGCTCCAGCTTTTCTGCTTAACGGGGAGCTGTGCCATCCATCCTGGGGCACTCAACAGGCTTCAGGGGCAGCTGCACAGGGAAGTCCATTGCAAAGGCAGCACTCTGAATCCTGAAGTGAAGGCTGCCATTTGGGTGATCAAACCTTAGCACTTCATACTGCTAACAACAGACATTTCTACTGAAAGAATATTGCAAAATAAAAATGTTGCTGTAATTTTAAATATAGTGAACATCCAGAGAGGGTATTCCCTGAAAAACTGCCTTAGTTACATATTTTAACAGAACCTACTGGTTCCCTTAGGCACTTCTCTTAAATGGTTTATCACTATAATATATACTCAAACTTATCAACTGATTTTATTCTTAACACACTGAAATTTTAGATCTTCTGAAAGAAAATCAGGACAATGAATAAAGCAAGCTGCACTGGATGTACAACAGGAAAAACTTTTTGGTTTGAGGTAGTTATCAAAAAAGTTTGAGAGAGAATCCTTGTAGATCAGAGTTTTTTAACTCCTTGTCCTATCTTGTATTTTAGGTTCGCTGAACACCCCTTCTGCCCTCCACTGGGAAGGCCAGTGAGCAATGGAGAATGTGAGCTATCCAAGATACTATTCCAGATAACAGTGCATGAAGCTGTTGACATCGACTTACACAACACTCAAACTAAGTTATGAAAAGTTATCACAGGTAAATAGCCCAAACCAGTGCTATGCTTTGTGCTAGGGTGAAGTAAGGGTTTTGTCTCATCACAACTTCAGTCTAAGCAAATCCATGGTTACAGAACCAGAGAGCACGTAAAAAGGCAACTTACTGTTAGGTTGTCTCTAAGCAACTGCATGATGAGAGTACTGTCTTTGTATGAGTCTTCGTTCAGTGTATCAAGTTCTGCAATGGCCTCATCAAATGCCTGCAATAATGAAATCAGCTTTAGCCTCTCTATTAACTGATCATTAAGCCACCAGAAACTAAACCTATCAGTTAAGTTAGCTAAAAACCCAAAAAAGCTGCATTAGAAGTTAATGGCCTGAACTACTCTATCTGAAACAAAAGCATAATAAAGGTATAATAAAGCTTGCCATGTTGCTGAAAATTGTAAGTCACACTAAATACAGCCTGCTTGTATCCCTTTATCCTGCTAACAATAGGAGCCTGGAAACCAGAAACATTAAATAGGATCATTTCCTGCATAAACTCTAGGAAATAATAATTCATACTGTTAGAAGCACAAACTCTCTTCTACTATCCCCACAGGCATACAGAAAAGAAGTCACTTACTGTCTTTGCCAGTGTGCAGGCAAGCTCAGGGTTGTTGAGGATCTCATAATAAAATACAGAGAAGTTAAGAGCTAGACCCAAGCGAATTGGATGTGTTGGCTGCATCTCCTTCTTGCTGATATCAAATGCCTCCTGATAGGCTCCCTGTGAATTTTCTATTGTTTCTGTTAAAAGAATGAGAAACATTAAGTGTCTTTTGGGTTTGTTTTTTGTTTAAAGTTTTTTTAAAGACATGACTACTTGAAGTACTCCATTAGCAGGAGACTGAACAGTGCTCTATTTAAGCCTTCTCTAAGCAAAACACTGCACTTACTTTAATCAAGATAATGATTTTACACCCATTTTAAGTACAGCTGCCACACTGACAAAACACAGGGAGCATATTAAGCTACTCCAGAGCAAAGATATTCAAGAGACAGATAAACAGACCGAACCTAGTAAATACAAATATCCAAGATTACTTATATTAAAGCATTTGTGCATTTCTTATTCTACAGAACTACTTCATTCCTTGCACAGGACATGCTCATGGGAGTCAGGTGTGCAGAGTAAAGGATGCTACTGTGTGCATGGCCTGATGTCTTGAGGAAGTTTGGAAGACATGTATGGCATATTCGTGAAAAACTGAAAGTCTGCCCCCAAAAACTGAGTGTGCCCAGAGTAACTGGGATACATACCACTGAGAGAAGAGGTTACCAGGTGTCCTGGTTTAGGAGTGGTATTTCCTGATTTCATGTTTCCACTGAAACCCTCCAGACCACGTGCTGCTCACTCCTTACCCCTCCCTCTGTGGTGGGGTGGAGGGAATTGAAGGCACAAATTGTAAAGATCACATGTTGAGATAATAACAATTTACTAAGAAACAGCAACGAAGTAAGAAAATGAACAGTAACACGAGGCCTGGCATGCTGGAGGGTCATTGCAAGCTGCATCAGGAACTCAAGAGAGGTGTACCTGGAGCAGTCCATGGGAGGCACAGCAGACAGTGACAGTATCATTCAGCAAACAGTGTTATACAATTGAACATTACTCACTGGTCTCACCCAAAAATCAAATCCTCTTGAGGTACACACTGTGCTACCCCAACCTTCTGCATTACCCACCAAG